GGGCTATATTTTAGAGAAATTAAATAAACTTAAACTGTTTTTACATTATTTTTTAGTGTACATACTACATACTAATAGAGCAATATAAAATGTTAGGAATAATAATTCAGATTTTTGTATTCAGCACAAATAAAACTGTAGCAATAATATAATCACGCTTGACGCCTCTGTTATATGCATAAAACCATTTTCATTGCAGCTTGGCGTTATTTATAGTTGTAATAATATTGTATATTATACATGTTTGCCATAGTGTCTATAAATTACTATAGCGGTTCCCAAGGCAATTTGCTTAATATTAAGGTTAGGAAATAGGAAATGATAAATGTTTGTTGAAAACATGAGTCCATTTCGTTTTATTAATGGTAATGAATGGATAATGATTGACACAATCAAGAGCAGTAATTATATTTTAGTGTTTTACTATTATATCAGTTTTTGTCATTACTCGCAACTATAAATACAATTGATCTTCATAAATAATTTGCTATGAATTGTATTACAATTTAAGTATAGTTATTTGAATTTCATAATATAGTTCGGTAAAATATACTTAGGTACCAAGCTAAATTGTTTGATATGTTTTAAATGTTGTAATGTAATAAAATATTAGGTATTTATTTAATTTTCTTATAAGCATGTAAATAGAATTAAATATACTGACCTATAAAAACCAAATTTTTTTATAGTATAGATAAAATATTATTGTAATTAGGTTAAAAAAATATCGTTTTAATAAAACCGGTGCAGAATATTTATAAATTATGAATGAAAATTTGAAATTTGTTATTATTCACGAGTAAAAATAATATTTAGCTGTGCTTGGAGATGCCTAAAAATATATAATTTTAATACAAGAATGTACATAAAATGTCTATACTATACGCCGTAAACATGGTTAATCTATAGTATTATAATATAATATATTATATTATAAATTACAACATTGTTAGGTTTCTGATACTCTAGTTATATTTTTGTGGTTAACACATGAGACACATTTAGAGGTTGACTCCGTTGGTAAAGTTTTTATACTATTCACATTATCTCTTAAAAATGTAAAAATAACAAATGGTTTTTTATTATAAAATATTAAATAATTGTCTAATTTAAGAATTGTAGAAGTTCATTTTTATAATTTTTTTTCTATACTTAACTTATTTTCTAGAAACTGCTCCACTTTGTGTTATTTTTCCAGTAATTTAAATGTGTTATAATTTTAATGGCATACAACAAATATCAAATTGTATTAAACGTAGTCCAAAACAATTGACATAACTGTGTACACTGTTTATAGGCTTACAGCTATAAACTATTATTGTTCATTGTTTTATAAAAATATTTGGAACTAAATTGAGGAAATAGTAGATAGTTTGAGGACCAGTAGTTTCTTTAGTTGGAACTCCAAAATTTACTTTTTGGCATTACATTGAATTAAACATTAACTAAATACACAAAACACAAATACACAATAATTTTCATCTCTAAATTCATTGTATCTTTTATGATATTTTTGGAATAATAACCTCGATAAATTGTCTAGGCTTGCATAGTCGAATAGATTTAACAATTTTTTATTGTTTTTCAGTAATGTAAATAATCTGATATTACACTATGAAGTCATGAGAGTATAATAGTGGCATACATATACCAAACGCTTATATAATATTCTATTTTACTATAAGCTATAAAGCTTTGTTTGAAGCTATATCGTCTGTCGTGTAATTTTCAAAAGTTGAGCTAGGCCCGAATCTAGACTTTTCTGGAAAATTACGGATAATGAAAGATACCATGAATTATGATTACAGCGGACAATCAGAATACCACACGACGAACGACTTATAATATAGGCATATTAACTGTGAAGCCCTGTGGCTTAATACTCTATAGACATAGTGATTTAACAAACAAAAAAGTAACATAATATACTAATGTATACCTACTAACATATTTTAACCAGGTATATAGAATGACTGAAAGACGGAAGAAACCTTTTACATAATATTTATTAAACTTAAATAATCAAATATACCAATATCAAAAATACGGTAGGTAGTGCATTTATATGTAATTTATAAGCACGCATAAAAAATGTTTCTGTTTAAAATATTTTATAAATTGTTTTAAAATCATCATAATAATATTGCAGTAACATAACTAGCGAAAAAAACGAGAAAGTCGCTTTTATATAGGTATATAGTAGACTTCGAATGTAACTCGTAATTGAATATAGATTACTGTAATGGGTGTGTTAAATTTTAATTCAATGGTAATTCAAAATTCAATGTATACATTATTACTATTTGTCGAGCTCTAATCACTCGAAACATCAAAAAAATAATACCTATTGGCTATTAATATACATTACTTACCAGGACCAGGGCCGGATTGGTTTGGCGAGCTACCGAAAAAATCTCAGCGGATCGCTTAAAGTTTTAGCCAGTCATGAGTGAAAATAAATTCTTGTTTAAACTACGATTAGCCTCCTATCAGCTTATTTAGACTTAATTTTGGAGCTTTGAATATGTAAATGGGCCTCTTGGAAGTGAAAATCTCGATGGGACCATACATACCAATCTGGCCCTGCTACATACCAAACACTCGTACCGTGTAATGATACTATATTTCAGTAGATGGTATCAGCAGACGATGCGGTATAAATGTATAATACGATATACAAATGTATTATATAGTTATACAAAAACGTTAAAGCAGCGATCAGGAATAGACGACTCGCTGCCGTCTGACTAGTGACTGCTGCCGCCTCGGACCCTGACCTTGTGCTAGCCTTTGAGACAGAACTTCAAAAATTTGTATTTTAATTGAAGTATTAAATCCTTCATTAGCTATCTAATCTACATAATTCAGTAAACGTTGTTTGAAGAAATTATTTTCTATAGTTTAAACAACGATTCATTATTCGTATGTTTTCCATTGCAGATATCGAATTCATCCACAGAACATAATATTGTTAGAGTTCGTCCGTCCGTCCGTCCCTCTGAGTTACCGGTAAGGTAGTAAACAGTTACGATTGTTGCGGTATTAAGATATATATTTATTGTCCGCAGTTACTATTATTTGTATATACTATATATCTACTATTATTAAATTTTTATAACGGTTCTATTCAAAGTGAATTTATACTAGCAAATATACTTAGTACTTACACAAAGGTACCAAATATAAAGGTTACCAAATTCTATTTCAGCTGTACCTAATATATGGAATTATAGCTTAATGAGCTGTATTAAAATACATTTAGAAACCGGAAATTAGCACGCCCGCATAATGAACATCCTGAAAGTTATTTAATCCCTAGGCAAAATTTTTTTTTTTAATTTTAAATTATGATTTAACAATAATTAATAAACTAATATACTTGTTCCTGAGGTAAAAGTTTTTAAAATCTTGTTGGTAGGTACAGCTATTATTATAGGTAATAGGTATAGTGTTTGAAACTTTGAAATATCTATATATTATTTGTTTCTATGTCACAGTCAATGGTTATCTAGTATCTACACGTGATAGGTGTCGTTAACTGTGGCCACAGTGTAATATTTTATTTTTATATTATTGTTACAACGAACACTATACGAATAATATTCATTATATTCTAATAATGGTTACAACTTACTCCCCTTATACATATATAATAATAATAAATTAATGTGGTGTATATCAGATATCTATGATCATATCGAATATCGCTGCACTTGCTTTACAGAATACTTCATCGTCCGAAGTTGAGATTTGTTCACTGTCAACCGAATCGATGGCGTTGCACCGAGTTTTCAGAAATGGCCAGACTTGCAAAACCAACAGGCAAGTCGCAGTGATTTCGTCACTCAGGGTGATATAGATCAATGCCGAACATAGAGGTGCAGAAGACATGTGATGCATCCGATATCGGACATCGGGTTGCCGTCTGCCACTTCGATGCAAGATCCGGTATCAATCGATTCATCTTCTGCAGAAGACTCGATGCAAATAGTTTCTGTCGAACCGTTAAAATGGCCATGGACAATATTATGCCAATACAAGGTGCCGTTCAGTGGCGTATATAGGGGGGAGGCCCCCTAGGCCAGAGCCCATAGTGAAATTGCAGGCTCAATTAAAGCATTGCATGTATATTTACACTGTTAACAGTTTTTTACCATGATTAAGTTAGCCGGTTGATTAAAATCATTTTTGAGTAATCTACAAGGAAATGTTAGATATATTGACGGGACTTGCTTTAATGACTTATTGACTTTGATGTTAAATTCATAGTAAGATAACATTAAAATATACAAACGACACTGTCAATATTTTTAAAAAAAGAAACAAAAAATTAATTTTACATAATAATTATAAAATTGAATTGCGCAATTTTTATTTGAACTGTATAATATGTCATAATTCTTAATTATATAACAGCTGCTCCCTTAAAAATGTATAATTATGGCTATGCTGCTTGACTAGTGATAATTGATAAATCGGCCCATAGTGAAAATAATTCGTATATACGCCACTGGTGCCGTTATAACATTTCGTTCAACAATTCAAGATCTAGACGCCGCCCGATTTGTCAGCTGCCTACAGAAGCAGAAGTGCAGCAGTAAAGTCGCGATATCGGAGATTCCACGAGACTCCGTTCTAGTTAGATGCCGAACATCACAATGCGATATCGAAACGTCCGAATTTGAAAGCAACAGAACCAAACCTCACATGAAGACAGCAATGCACACGAGTTTGCTGAAGGAGTCAGTAATCCGCTGGTGTGATGGGACGCACCCTTTAACCGCTGCGGTTATCCCAATGCTAGGTGGATCACGCCACTACTTTCATCATTCATTTGAGGTGGACACGTATGTCGATTATCGCGGTAACGGCACGGACGTCACCATGACGGATGTTAATATATGGAGAACGCGCTGTTGTTTCTGTTTGCCCAGCCGTCGTTCTGCGGTCATGTTGTCGTTAATGTAGCAAACGTTTCGTGTGTGATTTCACAAACCAGTTGCTGCCACGGGATGTCAGTGTGTATGACCTGTTGATCCAACAAATATGTTCGGGAAATGTATTGCTTAAAAGTAAAAAATATCCACGCACCACTCGGTATTTTGAAAACTCGGTGCCCTTGAGTCCTGTTCGACATGGAACTGCTGAGCAGCGAGCACGTGTCGTACGTGTCCCGCCAGCTCGGCGTTTGCTCGTTTACAGCGCCGCCGTGGCTGTATCCTCGTATCGTGACTGCCACGTTCGGTCACTATACGGTAACCTGTCCGTCGAGTCGTGTCACACCTGTTAGCAAAGGGTATGTCGAGGTTGACACGTTCTACTAGCGGCTGCATGACCATATGTTCATATATAAAGCATATTAATAATATACAGTATACACATGACACGGTACACCCTTTACACACATTACGGTATTTTCGGCGCACGTCAAACGACCACCCTACAACCTCTGACCATCCGAAAAACCAGCCTGGTGATCGTCATCACGCAACACGTAACTGAACCCTTCAGACCCATGTCGGTGAATGGAGTGGATGTTGGCGAATTGGCGATGTACTCTTGACCGTTCCACAACTGCTACAGCTCAAGTACAAGTACGTGAGTAATCGCCACCATATTACTATGTATTTATATTTTCTAATGTTGCATTTGATACATTTATGGGTTAGGTATAGTTGTGTAATTATATGTTTAAACATATACCTATTAATCCTGCGAAGCATTTCTTATGAAAGAATCCCGCTGACGTTGTGATGAAAACTCTCATCACGGAAAAATTGAATATGTACATACAATATTTTAAATTCTCTTCTACTGATTCCCACATATTATTATCATAGAAGTTCGGTATAGATTTAATTTCAATTCTAACGTTTCAGGATATAGCCTGAAAGGTACATTTTATTTAAATACTAAAACATTACAAAATACGCACCTACGAAAATCGTATAATATTATGTAAGTACATTGTAAAAATATAAAAAAAGTATTTTTAGGAATTAACTTTTACATAACTATTGTTTTTTTTTTTAACAATGTTTTGTTTTAACAAGTAATATATTTCGGATTCAATACATCCTCACTGAATTTGATTCATTTTTTTTAGGGGATCGGGGGCAATTTTTTACTGGTCAAAGTTACTCATATAGGTGAGTGCTTTGCCCCCACAATCCCAAAAATATTACCATAAACTATAATTCTTACAAAAATTAAACACAAATATTAGTTAAAATAATATTATAATTCAGTTAGTATACCAAATATATACATAATCATAAAGTATCCATAATTATTTAGATATCTATATCAATTTTCTAATATTTTTCTATGTTTAACTATGAGAGTTTTTTTATTATTCACATAGATGAGAAAACAAGTTTGTAAGTTGCAACTTGCAACTGAGCTAATTTACTAATTATTAAAAATTTTAAAAAGTTAAGGAATATATTTTTAATTATTGTTTTCTTTAAAACAGCACAATTTATTTTATTTTTGGCAGTTACCGATTGTACATTACTGGTTTGGCCTTTTGGCAACCGTCGTCTCCGACAAATATTGATTTTAGACGGATACAAAATGCTAAAACAGTAATGTACAACTTCAAAGATAATTCAAATTTCAAATGTATGAAACACTTATTCGATTGTATACAAATATTTCAAGTTAAAATTGCATCAAATAATTTTTTAAAAATACATTAAAAATTAATATTAATCAGGTTGTAAGTTAAAAACCTGTAAGTTGTATGTATTATCTTCATAATACTTTAAATTAGAATAATTGTCCAGTGCCTTACGCCCCTACCTAATTATTTTGGGACACTAAAACCATAGAATTTTTAACAGTCGAGTTAATATAGATATATTATAATATTATAATACTATATTAGAGTTTGTCTTGCTTTTATTTTAAATTACAACTTTTTTTTTTTTACTAATCTTTATAAATAAAATCTATTGATCATAAAATTGGTTATACAAATACATAATATATTAAACAAAACCATTTAATTTAAATTTATATAACCGAGAAAGTATTTGTTGGTAAGCAAATTTATAATATTAACTATCCATAGAAAAAACTATTTTTTTTTTTTTGTAAAAGTTGGATATTATGTAATTATTTATGTGTTATGGGTAATACATTTTATTATGTTTGCATGAGTACTTACTGAATAAGGACACTTATTTTACTGTTCTACAACATGACGACTTCATGACTTCACACCGATTGATGCATATAAACCATTAATTTTAAATTGTTCGTTTTTATTATATTATTGATCTAAAATAATAAGTTTTACCTTTCACTCTGTATATAATATTATGAAAATGGTTCTTTCTTGGGAAGATAAATAATATTTTTTGATGTAAAATAAAAATGTATAATCATTATAAATAATTTACAAACGCGTGGCATTATGTATAAAATAATATCTAACCTTTAGTCAATACCCGTGATAATATTCCATGTAGTTCGTACACCTAAATAAACAGATAACACTCAGACTCAGTAATTACAATAATGTGCTGAGTCAAAAATTCAGTAATTTGAACATATCCGTCGAAAAACGTTCGAATAAGGACCGTTAAAAAAATCCAGATTAAACAAAATCACAAAACCGAGTAAAAACAGAAACAATTTTAAACCTTAATAAAAACCTTCTCAGTTCTCACCCACCCTCATGAAACACTTGAACGAGTACAATATTTCATGCTGAGGTGTAATACGCAATGCTATAATAACTATTTTCGCAACAATATTGGTAGGTGGCAAGTATGCTTCTGGTTACAAAACAGTGCACCGTCGTGGCCTTAACCTTCGCTGTTTTGTGTGCGGTCGTGCCCCCTTTGACGGCCGTTAACGTGCTCGCCATCGAACCATTGCCAGCTCGGAGCCATTGGACGTTTATGCGGGCCGTGCTCATAGCGATGGCCACCGGTGGCCGTGGTCACAACGTAACGGCGTACACACCGTTCGCTTCATCGTCGGCGATCACTGATGGCGTCTGCAACGGCGGCCCGATCGGTTGCGGGTACGTGGAAATACCGTTGCGGCTTGGCGTACCGGACAAGGTCGCGCTGGACGTGCAGAGAGCCATCGCCGATTTCGCCGACCAATGGCGGTTCGTGGGAATCGCTGTGGACAAGAGTCAGACTGCTTGTGGCCTGCTGGACCGGATGGCAGCCGCCGGCCACTTTTCCGGCGTCCGGTACGACGTGGTGGTCGTCGAGCTCGTGTCGTCCGAGTGCACGTCCCGCGTGTCCGGCGCCCTAGGCGAAGTGCCCCTCGTGTACGTTTTTCCGTCACCGATAGCCTCGTGGGTGGAGGCAAAAGCGTTAGGTACTAGCCCCGGCCCGTCGTATGCCAGCCGTCTGTTCGCCCGGTACGCGAAGCCCGACACTTTAGCCAGGCGACTGGAGAATGCGTACGGCTGGACTGTGATGGCAGCGTTACAATGGTTTCACGAGCGAGGTGACGATCAGGCCGGTTACCGCAAGCCTGCCGTCACGTTCGTCAACACGGATCTGACTGTGGAAAAATCTGTGCCCGTCGTTCAGAACATGATAGGCATCGGAGGTGTTCACCTGCCGCCGCCTGAACCAATACCGTCGGTAAGTGGAGTCGTTCCTTATTGCTTTTGTTTGAAGTTTGATGTTACTAAAGTCTTAGTCTAAATAATATTATTTTACGATTGAATTAAAAAATACAATTTTTATACTTTTAAGTTGTAACACATATTTTTAACTGATTTAACTGTCAAACAAATCAAATCGATTCACTATAAGAATATTAATTATTAAAATATTTTTTTCGTCGTTTTAGTAATTTTATTTAGATTTATTAACTTATAATGTCATATAACAGTATAATATTAAAAACGATCTGATTAGATTCAGCTGAACAATACATGTATATTTTAGCAGTTAGTAACTATACAATAGTTGTAATGAATGAATTAGAAATATGTAGTTATGAAATAGCCCCAGCGAAAAGATGCTGGCATCCAGGTTGGTACATGCCTTTACCTAAAAGGAGAGATGGTAAACGCCTGCAAATGCAGGTTATCTCCTACATTGACATTGTGTTAACTCTTACGCCTGATAGTGTTAGCTCCCATGCAAGTTTTTATTGAATGAAATTTTAAAATAATATGATTTCTATAAGATAAACATATTATTTTTTAAATATCACTTTCGTAGTTTTATAAATACATTAGTACATATTATTCAAAAAGCAATTCAGGAATATAATAAAAACACATGCATCGTTCCGCTCAGGACAAAAAATAAAAACAATATAATGTTGAAAAAACCCAAAATAGTTAAATATAAAAATTATTTAATTACCCCAGACATATTCTAGAAGATACTGATATAACTGTTTGGTGAATATATTAAATATCTGTAGATATTTATTTTTGAATTATCTCTAAAAATGATGACTCAAACATATTATTATGTTAACTAAATATTATTTATCAGACGTGAATGCAGGAGGGTAAGGTGCTTTAGACCCAGGTCATTGGAAATGTTATATCTTATAATATAGTATATCAGTAGTGCAGCCAGAAATTTTCGATGAAGGAGCCATTATACTGGTTTAAACATAGAGAATTCGACTAGGTAAGGAAATATATATGGTATATGTGTACTATTAATAATACGATTCAAACGGAGGGGGGTCCGGACCCGGTGACCACCACAGTTTACGTCTCTGTATTATGTATTCATATAAATAATAAATAATTCAAGTCTTAAAATATAAATAAAATTGTTAAGATTGTTATTATGTCTTATTTATTTCGTTATATATAATCTATATAATGTACTTAAATTATAATTGTATTTTTTTCAGAAAAAATGTAGCCCCTTACCACTTTAGATCTCTAGATTAGGGCTGTTATTTAATATTCCAATATTTCTCTGCAAAAGTGAAAATGTAATAAGAGTTGTAATTTTTTCCACTACAGGCCCAGATTTTTGGGACATTCTAAACTTCTGTAATCAAGATTTTTACTTTATGCTGAAAAAGGTTCGTGTAAGATATTACACTATTTTTTATCTACTGGTAAAAAAAGTAATTCGTGTAGGACTGTAGGAGCTTACATTTAGCATATACTGATATACTTAAGTACATATTATCGTCTACCAAGTGTTCATTTTAAAACCACTTTTAGATATGCAATGTTTCAAGAATTTCGGATGGCCTATTATGGTTATTCTGAAAATTATCATGCCATTTTTACCGATATTCTAATATAATTATTACCATTTATGAGTGTAAATAATTTATAAATTATGATCAATAGTTTTGATTTGTGCTACCGCGGGTACTCACATACTGCTCATCATTAAAATCAGATCATAATTTTTAATTAATGTTGATAAATATGTTATATAGGAAGGTATTTTATTATAATGTTATATATTATTACATACGTAATGCAATAAGTATTTACAAAGTTCAAAACACTACTTGAACTGAAAATACAATTTTGTATTAAGCATTATGATTTTTTGTCGACAAAATAATAAATTATATATTGAATGAAAAGAAATAACCTATAATTAGGATATTATCTATAAAATAAATAAATTAAAATAATTAAAGGCAAGAATCTAATTTACTTATTGGCTTTTTATTGATAGTTAAACGATAATAGTGATAGGATAAGGTTTAGTAGTAAACATTTTGTCGGTGAACTTAAAATAAAAGCCTAATTGACTCATATATGAAGAGATTAAACCAAAGTTTAGTTAACTGAGTCAGAGGTTGGAATTTTTAGACGCTCTACACCTGTACCTCAATTAAAGTTGGAAATATATTTATAATTAAATAAATATGTATAATATATATACACAAACACATATAAATGTTAAAGAAATAATAATATTTGCTATTATATGGGACAATATCGATTTTAATATCCCAGGTACTAAGATTGCAAGATAACATTTTACGAATGTTAAAATAATGTTATTATTTAAATTATATTATTATGCAAGCTGAACGTGAAACGTTTCACTCGTTATAAATTAAATGACCATGGATATAACATTTCTTATACTCTGTTATATGTAATTACGTATGTAAACTGCACATATTTTTAATACAGTAATTTGGGTGGTTTTGACCAGAATATAAAATACAGTTAAAAATTAAATACAATTAATAATCATAATAACAGTTTCATTTTCTGTATCCCTATACAAACAAACAAAAATATTTGCTTTTGGTAAGTCAATGTCAACATATCCCCGATAAGCCTCTTTAAAATGTAAAATTTAAAAATTTGGTTTTGAGGTGCACATTCTCAAATACGAGTATAGCCGTATAGGAATAATAGGATTACCTATATGAACCAAATTTTAGAACTATGAGTGATGTGATAGATTGGTTACACAAACACAAACATTGCCTTTTAATAGCATAAATAAACATTCAGATTTAATCATATTTCGATTGGAAAAATGTTATATGTAAATTATGAGTGGGGTGAACTATATTATACAATATTTTATAATATTTTGTTCATACATGGTGAAGCTCAGGACTAAAAAGAAAAGACAAAACAATTTTAAACAGCTTTCGAATAATTCATACATTTGTAACGCACAACCACGTGGCTAGAAATGACCCATCCGCATTCAAATAACGTGTAGTGGATTACAATTGCACATCCTACTAGAATACCAAAAATATGACGAAGGAACAAACATCAATACACCACATGTCACAACAAATAAGAGAAGTACTCTACAACCCTATCTCCAATCCAATGTTAATACTATAAATTAATTATCTAAAATAAATTAAATTATGCAACTTAATTTAAACCAAATGGACATTTAAAAATATAAACTATTAATTACAAAAGTATAAAGTTATAAAAAAAGTTTAATGTAAACTAATGTCCTTACACGTTGATGTTATTTAGATCAATAAAAAAAAAAATATATATATAATAGAGTATTACAGTACTCGAAGAAGGACAAATGGACGCGGCCGTTTGGACGTGGGGACAATTGGACGTCAAAAAAGTATAATCAACATTTTAAATTAGTAAATAAAATTAATAATTAATAAATTATATTTATTATAATATTTATGCGTCAAACAAAAATGAATATACAAATTATTCATTATATAAAATATTAAAATTAAAAATGTATCCAAAACAATTTTTTAATACAATTACTGGTACACCAGCAGTTAAAATATGATATCAAAAAAAGTTATTTATAATAATTATCATAATACGTCCAAAATACAATATTTAAAATATCTAAAAAGTTTATTTTTTATATTAATGAATTAAATGATTAAAATGTAATAATAATATCGATAAGGTTCGATATTATACGATACCATTATATTATGAACATATAATATCAATGGTTTTATAATTTATAAGCATAAACCAGAACAATTTTTTTCAATTTTTTTAAATATATTTTGATGATGATCTATTATAATAATACTATATTTATTTAATTTTTATATTTTTTTTTACGTCCAATTGTCCCCACGTCCAAACACTCCAAACGGCTACGTCCATTTGTCCTAGATCGTATAGTACTATATTATGTTATAATATTTTTTTAAAAGTGGACAAGTGGGTGAACAACATTTTCAATTTTCACCTCCTAAGAACAGATGCTGATTTCAAAAATCGGAGTATTTTAACTATCACTAATGTTCATTGCAGAGAAAAAAAACATCTTTGTAAATGAAATACATTCATTACCTACGCTCAGAATCTAGAATCATTTAAACATTTCGTTGTTTATTGATAGCATAATAGGTATTCACGATTTAAATATTCATACATTATTTGGATTCTACATTAACAATAAAGTATTAATAAATACAAAGTATTATTTAAACAATTTATATTATATTATCATTTTGTTATTAACGGTGTCATATAATAATGATTTATATGGTAAATATTTCGATACATACTAATTGTCTTTGATAATCTCTTAATAAAAAAAAAATATTTTTGAGTGGTGAGGGACTTCCCACCAGGGAATATTCTCCTACCTATAAACACCCTCCAAGTCTTAAGGAATCTGTTGGTTTAACTTTTATTGATAAAGGTCAGTAGATTTTGAGTTTTTTTAACTTTGGATGAACCAACATCCACTTTTTGCAGTACCTATAACCAGACTTCACCAGTGAAAAAATGAGATGAACAATTCGCTTGTGGCAGATTGGATATGACTTGGTATAAATCGAAAGTGGTTTAAACTACTCTTTAAACTTTCCTGATATCTTTAAGAACAATTTGAAGTTTTCACAGAATCGGTCAAGTAGTTTTTGAGTATATAAGCTACTAGTATACTACAACATAGCTACAACTATCATGTTTGTTTTAAGATACCAATTCTTTATTCGAGACCGTAAAGAGAAATTGTATGCATGCTTTATTTACCGTATTTACCAATGGCAACCATTAATAACAAAAAAAAATAATAATTTCTACAAATAATTTCTTCTAGGTATTATTATTATAATCTTTAAAATGTAACTAATGGCAACCATTTACTACGTAAACAAAAAAAATTTTGTTATTCGTTGTAAATTTCAAATTATTTGTATGTAGTTG